CTTTAAATCCCAAATAATGTTACTCATACTATATATAGCGCTTGCTTGTCATTGGCAAGAAGTGCCGAAAATAAAATGCCGAATCCAACGAATGCCTATTTTGGGCGACGGCGGCATGTTGAAGGAGGACGCCAAGCAGGTGCCGGCGCCGATCATGTATTGGGGCGAGGTCGACCCTGCGTACCGCGCGTCCGGCGCCTCTGCCGACGAGACAATTCAATATTACCGCAGCGTCATCAAGGCTCGCGCGACAAAGCTGTCACGTCCGGGCAAGGCCACCGGGGGGCCACCCCCCCACGTGGCATTCTCCCAGGCCGCAGCGTCGTCGCTTCGGCGAGCCCTGCAAGTAATCGTATCCCATGAAACCACGAACAGAGTCGAGATGACCAGACGTAGATCTTGATGACGGCCGTTGAGACACAGCTTGGTCGACAGCTCCCGCAGCGGGTGTTTGACGCTCCGTCCAAGGCCATACCCAGTCGCTTCTACCCGCCCAGTGTTGCTTCCGAAACACCCGCGTATTTCCTGAAGAAGCCCAAGGACCCTCTAGTCGCCAAGCGCACACCTGTTGCCTGCTCTACCGACGAGGATAATTACATAGAGGGCAGCATAGGGAGTTTTGCCGTACTTTTGCGATCGCACACCGCCCAAGCAGCCCAGTCTTGTCGACCGAAAGCACTGGTACCGACCGTCCAGTCGTATACCTTCAGCGTGTACTCTACTATGCTGTAGGAACTTTGTGCAAGCGCGAGAGTCGGACGTCCTTCGACGCCGCGGCAAGCACCTCTTGGCCGTCCTCGAAGAGCAGCAGCGGCTTGAGATCCAGCGAGAAAAGGGTTCGTAGAGTTTAGATTGTGAAAACATCGAACCCATCGGTCTAGATCTGGTTGCCGCGTCACGCCTGGAACCATCGCTCCACATGAAGATCGTTGCTGACGTTGCCAAGGACCGGTACGAAGCCGCTGACCGCATCATGCGCATCCTCGACGTACGACAACTTGTCTTTTCTTTCTGTCATATTGTTGTATCCAGGATTACGGCGTGATTGCGGGGAGTACGACCCTCGACTACCTTCAAGCAACGCTCGCTCCGCCGCCGACATCGACTTTGTAGCATCAAACTGTCTTAATTGGAGGCTCGTCTCTCGCCGTACAGTGTTCTAGGCACTGTTCTAATAATGCAATCGAGAACCAACAGACCACACTTCGAGAGGACATCTGGTGTCCGTTGTCGTAGACCAGCATTTCTTGAAGTATCCCGCGGGTCGTCGACCAATAAAATCCCACGGACCCAACTAACCTAAACAACTAATCTAAACTACCACACAACGCATTGGTGACTCGTCTTGACTAGACGAGATGCCATAGACTCGTACGCTGTCGTTGGCCACGGAGGCTGGCAGCCTTAGAGGACACCTCGTTATAGGCTCCTTCTATAACTGTTCTAAAGTCGCAATCGTTTCCGTCCTTAACACACGTGTGCTCGCGCCAAGATCTTATGGCGGTGTACAACAGCAAGACGCAATAGCTTAGTTGCTTTTATACCACACGGCGGCCGGCGTGGTTGGTTTCAATGCAGTGGCATGTCGGGTGCACCGAGACTTGGATCGCCTTGTCAACTGGTCTCGGCCGCTCGTGCATAGCTCCAGTCGCCCGAGAACACGAGCGCTGGCGTCTCGTTGTCCCAGAGCGCAATGCGTCGATGGGCCGGCCACGCGGCCACGTCCGCCGCCGCCGCGACGCGCAGCTGGTAGAGCTCCACACGACACAGCAGTCTCGTCTCTTCCTCTGTCGTCACCCGCAGCGTCGCGCAGTAGCTCGTCTGGTTGACGACATCGAGCGTGTAGCAGCGCAGGTCGATCGCGTCGGGACCA